TTAATAGACATAAACAAAAAAGTGATAAAAGGTGTTGAGCCACTAAAAATATCCATAAAGATAGCTCAGCAAGCAAAACAATGTCGGTTTCTTTGATGTCATTATTTTGACGAGCGCCTGATTTCACCATGATGTCACACATTTCCCTGCCACTGTCCTATTATTTTAATTGCCTAATGCAGGCCGAGGTAAATTCTACCTCGGCATTGTTAACTCCGTGGATATCGTGTTAAACTCCGGAGAGGACTACGCCCTTTAGAATCAGGAACGAATAATTTCTAAAAAATAGATATTATTGTTTGTTATTTAGGGGTTCTTGTTTTTTTTACCATCTTCTAGTCTTTGCATTCTACTTCTATTCTTTTTCACGTTACTTACCTATACATTTTGAAAGAGGAGAAAACACACAGAATAACAATTGCAATTTCCCTGCTTATAGCTTCAGCATCCAACACTTTTCTCTGTAATTTTCACTTAGACGTACAAAAATATGTTGGCTCCATTCTCCTTGCATTTCACTAGCTCAGACAAAATCCGTCGATACCCCTGAGGATGCCCTGCACCCGCTACAAGTCTAAGATAGATGCCATCTACCCTTTCCCATCGACCACAATCTCTGGTTGGCCCGAAGTCGGACCTGTCTTACGTCAGACAAGAGAGAAACGTCGTCTCTCAGTCGGCTGTACCAGGTCAGCCGACATAGTTCACAGGCCACTCTCCCCAGTACTTGCTGTTTTCTGGCCGTCTACTGTGTCTGTCCATGAATGTGTCTGTACCACGCTGACTGATTGTTGGTTAATCTATCAGACTTAATGTAATCGATGTTTCCGTCTGTGAATCTCCATGATATCTATCTTTCTATCTATCTATCTATCTATCTATCTATCTATCTATCTATCTATCTATCTATCTATGTGTGTCTTTCTATTCATTTATCAGTTTATTTGTATTTATGATTCTGTGTCTGCTTCTGTATGTCTATCTATCAATTGTTTAACGTGTATATAAGTTTGCACATACGACATTTGTCTATCTATCCTTTGATCTGAGAATCTTACTTCTCATCTTACTATTTAATTTGACCGACATTTCGGTTTGAGCTTTCCCACACATTTACTTCGCCAAACAACTGCCGTTTGAAGAAGAAACATAGTGTGTGCTAGTATAGGTCAAATCGAATTAAATAATAATACTAATAGCAGTAGTAGATACTAGATTGCATTTGTATAGCGCGAATCAACGCTCAACAGCAAGCTCCATGCGCTTCACAATTTATACTATTATCGCAGCAGACCGGAGCGCATTTTGAAACAACCTCAACTCCCTGGGAAGAAGACAGTACAAGCAGCCATTTATAGGCGCTAAATCACTAACGTACTGACAAGTTCTTTCGCTGTCTACGGCCCGGTACCCATTCCCACCTGGGTGAAGTGAGGAAATTCGTGTAATGTGCCTTTCCCAAGGACACAACGTCGGGCGCGCTGCTCGAACACCCGAACCAGCAACCTCACGATTACGAGTCCGATAGGCTAACAACTAGGCCAACAAAGATGTGGTGACGTCTTTCCATCTCTATTCAGAGTCGATATCCCTATGTTCATGAAATACAGAAACATTTTTGTAAGTGGCCTACCCTCACATAGAAATTAAGGCACTAAAAGTTTGTTTTTTAGTTTGTTTTTGGTTGTTGTTTTGGTTGGAGTTTTTTGTTGCTTTTTTTTGGAGGGGGGGGGGGTGCTGTTCTATAGGTTGTGACAAAATGGGATTTTCTTAAATACTGGATTCCCATTTCAAACGGCAGGGTCAGGATTCACATACCTCGAGTGCGCCCAGGCGAATTCTGCTCACGATGGTGTAGTTTATGACCTGGCCTCGAGATGTGACGTGTCAAGGGAAAGGTGTCACTGGGACCCAAGACGAAGATCCAGACAAAACAAGCACTTCTGAAACGAGAGAAAAGCGATGTTAAGAAGAAGAGGACAGGGCTGTGTGTGTGTGTGTGTGTGTGTGTGTGTGTGTGTGTGTGTGTGTGTGTGTATGTGTGTGTGTGTGCGCGTGTTTTCACGTATATTGCAGAGTCTTACACAAATATGTTCGATATTTGTAAAGCTTCCTCCTACATTAAAGTGGTGGTTACGCAAAGGGGCTACTTTTTCCTCTCATCTTTGCAAGTAACTCTCCGTGTCTCAAAACTTTTTATCGAAGGGAGTAATGGCGTTCCAACTAGTTTTTGATCTCCAGAGACTTCACAGTGGAAAAGCTCAGACAGGGTACGTCCCTGTGGGTCAATGTGGACAGAGCATTTTCTCGTGCGCGAAAGAGGAGGAGAGGTATTTGTCTATGCATTTGTGTTTACACTGAAACAGACATTAGAAAAAAAGAAAAGAAAATGGCCTATGCCAAAATATATGGTAGGGGTTAATGTCTTTATTACTATGCGCGTATGTTACTTGATAAAGGACCTCCAAACTTTAATAGGTCGTTATACAATTTTATGGAAGCAAAATAAATCAAAAGAGCAAGTATTGAAAGATGCCAGGGAAGATGCCATTTAGAGTACAGTCAGTTAAAACAATCTACCAGCTTTAACACCTTGCTATCAATGGAAAAATAGAAGGCAAAAGAGACAGTGGTAGTTTAGTTTTAGTAAGTGTTTTACGGTACTTGCAACACAATAAGGTCAAATAAGTGCAGAAGAATAGAGGTGTTACAAGAGAGTAACAAACGCGAAAAAAGGAGAAGGGGAGATAAAGACGATAGATGCTTGATAGGAAAAAAGAAGCAAACCACACCAGAGCACCCGCCAACCACCCAGAGGCAGTGGTAGACCAAGAGCAACTAACTATGAGAACATGAACAAAAGGGTATTAGGAAAATACCTACACAGTATATTCGTGTTTTTAAGACACCCTGGCAGAGAAATGAAGAGCCGGTGTCTGTTTCAGATCTGACATTTGGAAATTTGACGATGATGATTTTTGCCATGATTTTATAATCGTTCATGTTTACAGCTTGTATTAATTCATCCCTCTACCACCTTCTAGTCCCTAAATCCCCTAAAGCTAAATTGTCATGCTCAATTTAAAATGTTTTCAATGGGCAAGGCAGAGATTGATAGATCAACGTCACTAACCGTGCCACAGGCAAATATTACGTATATTTATGTAAAACTTTGAGTAGAAATAGATAACCTCCTGTAAAATAGGCGCCGGTTAGTTATCTCTACAATGTTTTCTGTATTATCTAAAGCTGACTATAATGTGATCTGTACATATTTTAGCATTAATTGTAAAATTAATTATACTCATACATTTAAACTGTTTTTTTAAATCATAAATGATAATTAAGTTACAGCTTCCAGATACTTCAACCTTTCTCATGTTATAGTCACTAGTTTTGCATCGACTCATCATGGTCGCTCACAGACTATTAGTATGTAAGTTCCTTTTACAAGCTGTTAAACTATTCTATCGAACACTTTTGACCGTCTGCTGGGATGCTGTAGCCCATCTTGCCAGATTGCTCTAGCCAGACAGGACTGAAGCAGCCCACCTCCTGAAATATCTACTTTGTGTCGAAAGCAGTTGGTAAAAAGAACAACAAAAACCAATAATGAGAACAATCAGCTACTCTGTTGAATTGGGATAACTTTGTTTCGTTTTTGTTTTCAAATACCTGCTGCAGATCCGTACCAAGGCTGAAAAAACCATCATCTTCTCTCTTGTTCTATTTTTCGTCCTTTTTCTATCCATTTTAGATTAATCCTCAGCAGAATTTTTAAAAAAACAAAAAACAAAGAAAAAAATAAAAACGAATACACGAGAACCAAAGCTTCTTACAGTTCCCCGTGATGTCGACAAACAAGCAGCCTTGCATTAAAAATGGAAGAAAGGCGTCCCTTGAGAATATGTAATGGCTCTAGTTCTCTCTGGGAGACCAAAAGACGTCAACAAACTTAACAAGGAAAACGGAGACACGCGTGTTCCCCCGGCACTCAAACTGTGGGGAAGTGGGTCAGGCATATATGCCGTACTCGGGCTGGGACGACAACCTCTGAGAGTATGGCAAAGGACAATGGCACTTAGAAATCCATGATAGATGTAAAAAGCAACATGAAATGCAAAACGTAACGTGCGAGTAGAATAATTGTAGTCATTTTTCCCCGCCCTGAAATGCATACATTAGATTGTCGTCGATTGTGAGAAATGGAACAGAACAGGAGAGAAGTGCAAGTGAACGTAAACATATCATTGTTATTGGGTTACGTTTTGAGTCATTACTGTTGGAAACTTGAAACTCTATCTATCTACCTGTTTGGCATTCTGTCTATTATCTGGATGTAAGTCTTTTTGCATGACTTCCTTCCCCCCCCTCTCTCTCTCTCTCTCTCTTTCTCTCTCTCTCTCTCTCTCTCTCTCTCTCTCTCTCTCTCCCTCTCTCTCTCTCTCTCTCTCTCTCTCTCTCTCTCTCTCTCTTTCTCTCTCTCTTACACTCCGTATCTTTCTCATTCATAACACACCCACACATACACACAAACAAACAAACACACAGACACACACACTCACACAAACACACACACAAACACACACACACACACACACACACACACACACACACACACACACACACACACACACATACAAACGAACACTGTCAGCCTATCCCCGTACTGCAAAGAGGGAGGGCGGTAATTTATTGTATGATTATCAATTAATGTTATTACTGCTGCCACCGTAAACCCATCGATTCGAACCTGGATCAACAGCATCCTAGTCCAGTATGATAACTGCCCTATAGGCGTGCCATCTATTACTAGGTTTAGTTAATAGCTTTCACAGAAAGAGCTGAATAAGATAAAGAAACGTAACGAAGACAGGGCAATGATTTTTTGGGGGATAAAAAGTGGCGAAGAAAGAGGCGTAGAGTCATACAGAATGGCAGCACACTAGCAAACACTCTCTGGTTGGATGCCTTTTCTGTCTCGGTGCATTTAGTTTCCCCATATATTTGCCAGTCTGCATATCTGTTTTCCTTGCGGATAAAAAACAATCTGATGGCGGAATATTTTACAAACAGCATCAACGGTGGAGGAGAGATAGGGACGCTTCTTCTGTGTTTATAAAACATCGGAATTCCATTTAGAACATCTCTATCCTGGGAATCGGATTTCCCCGTTGCAACTCAAGTACACGAAGCAGGAAGATCATCCAATGTCAGTTTTGTCTCGGATTCACCGTCAAGGAAAGTGCGTTGTCCAACTCTAAAAAATAAGGATCTGGTTTATAATCTTCCTCGCACAAGCCAAAGTGAATAGAAGCAAATGCTAGCTCAGACGACCAGGGCATTTCTTTAAAATGGATCGGACTCCTTCAGGAAGGAGACAGCCAGAAAAAATGGATGAGATAAAGATTTTTTGTTAAGCCAACAGCGTATTATGGTAGTAAAATGTTTTGCGTCCTTCACAACATAATATTAGACAATTTAGGTGTAGAATAACTCCTTTTGTTTTAGTAAGAGTTAAACGGAACTTACAACACAAAAAGGTCGTATAAGTTGCGAAGATTAGAGGTGTTATAAGAGAGTAACAAACACAAAATAGAAGTAGGGGAAATAAGGACAATAAATGTTTGATATGAAAGGAGCAAACCACACAAGAGCACCCGCCAACCACCCACTAGGATAACTTGAGTCTGTCTGTCGAAGCAAACAACAACTGACTAGAATACAACATATCAGCAGAAAAAAAAATCGGATCTTCGATAAAAAAAAACTCCTTAAAGCTGTAAGTGAACTGATGCCTTTGAGCACAACGGCGCTAAGACTGCCCATTACATCACCTAGATCGACTAGTTACGCTGAACAAGACGTTCCTCGTTTTGACTGCGCACTTTCAAAAGTATTTTACACTGAGTTTCCCAGATACCATTTGATGTCCTCTTTTACCCCGTCTCTCTCTCTCTCTCTCTCTCTCTCTCTCTCTCTCTCTCTCTCTCTCTCTCTCTCTCTCTCTCTCTGCGTTTTTAAGTCTTCTCGAAAACCAAGCGTTCCCCTCGTTCTTTAATCTCCCCTTCCCCCTTAAAAAAATCTGTCCCTAAAACAACCTTCTAGACTTCCAACAATTCCCTATTCTGATGACAAAACATGACCGATAGCGACAAAATCCATCGATTTTTCAGCATTTCTCCGCATTTGTCCAATTTTATCCGCAGTTCTCACATTCCTTTATTCCCTTTTCTCAGACGTAAAATGTCAGTTAACATTTATGGCAATTCTCCGGGGTTCGCCTTAAGAGATTTTTTCTTTTTTAAGTCAACGAAAATGTCAGCCAAGCTCTCTGATTTAGGCTCTGAAAGACGATGTCAGTGTGCTTTCCTCAGTTAAAGCAAACAGGATTATAAAACTAGATTTATAATAATTACGCTTCCCCAGAGTCAAAATGAATATTTTGTACAAAGTTTATGAGTGTTTCTGTCTCTGTAAATGTGT